TCTCTCTGCCCACTCCCCACCCAACCATGCGCCACCACAGTAACCATTCGCCCCCCTTGGTGTGTGGGGTGCCTAAAATTAGCAGCCAGGTGGCAGTCCCCCCCCCCTCGGTGTGTAGGGTGCCTAAAATTAGCAGCCAGGTGGCAGGCTCGGTTTCGACACCGGGGGCGTAGGGTGGCTGGCGCCCCATGTGGCTTGCCTTTCATGGCCCTTCCGCGGCCCCTCAGTGCCTTCCCATGCGGCTCTGAAGTGGTTGACACAGGAAAGTCGGCTCCCCGTGCGAGGCATGACGCCCCCCCAAAGCGTCGCCGTTCACCACAAAGACTGAAAAGCTGAGAAAGAGAAAAACAAGCAATCAGTGCATGCCTTAAACACCGGATTCTTCCCCGTCGTTCTCACGATCGCTGGGTAGGAGGTGAATGGGACTCCGCGTCCCATCCGCCCCAGGGAGCTTTAGCCGTGAGAGGTGATGGGAACGGAGATCCACAACCTCTGGGCTGAACCCCCCTTTTTTGGGGAAAGACGGACACTGAGAAATGATGAGTTTGCTTGCCGCCCTTCTGAACGAGTGGCTGCTCCGATCTGTCTTGTTGGCTCTCACCCACTCCTGGACGTGGGAGAATCTGTCGGATACACCGGACAGGAAAACTGTTCCCACAGCACCAGGATGGGAGATTAAATGGGGGGGATGATGGAGGACGTTGTCCTCTCTGTTGTGTCTCTGTATGATGTCCTGTTCTGGGCTTCCAGAGAAAGGATGGGTCTCTGGAGGCGTTTGCTAGCGTGCTTTGAGGCGCCGATGACGGCCGTTGAATCTATACATCGTTTGGAACCAGCATCCATCCCTAGTCCTAGTGGCCACCGTGTTGACAAGTCCCTGAGCCCCAAAGATCGGGGTCTTTCCTCCGTTTGGCCCCCTCTGCGTGGACGGCCTTAAGCAACACCCCAGAAGCCTCAACCTCCCTCGGAATATGTCCCCAGCAACTAAAGACCCCCTTGTTTGCAGGGGCTCCAGAAGCCGGAGGCGACCGAACGGCGCACGACAGCAACAACAGCGGAGAAAACTCACATGACTGCTGTTTGCGGCAGAGGGATGCGGGGAGCGCAGTTTGCATCTTACTGCAAACCCTTCTGGGATTTGTAAAAAAAATACAAATTTGTAAAATACATTTGTAAAAATGCACCAGAGACCCATCCTTTCTCTGGGAGGGTATGCCCGGAACATTACATCATACAGAGACACAACAGAGGAGGGAAACCTCCTCCATCAGCCCCTCGTTTCTTCTCACATCCTGGCGCTATGGGGACAGTTTTTCCGTCCAGTGTCTCCAACAGTGTATCCAAAATACAAAGCATTTTTATTTTTAGCTGCATTTTAAAAAGGATGTGAAAGTATTGTATAAGTAGCGTGGTGCCAACGAACAGAGGCCTACGGTACTCGGAAGGAGAAAGCAGCAAATTTAGTTTTGTGGAATAATAACTGCCTTCATATTTCTAAATTCTGAAACAGGAAGAACACATAAGTTTCTTCCTTCCTGTTTCGTGAAGGAGCCTGAAAGATGGGGGGCTCCAGCCGTCTGCTTGGAAAGGAATGGATCTTTTCTTTCTTTCTTTCTTTCTTTCTTTCTTTCTTTCTTTCTTTCTTTCTTTCTTTCTTTCTTTCTTTCTTTCTTTCTTTCCTCTCTTCCCGGCAGCGATTTTAAAAAGTTCAATCTTTCGTGATTCAAAGGCATCATATCTTCCATTGTTTCCACTTTTTGCTTTGTACTGACTTGAAACGAGCAATTACTCGTGAGAAACCAGATCCTGGGGTGTCATTGTGACTGTTAGGGGCCGTCCTCCGACCTCTGGCGACCCTCTGAACGAGCACTCCCTCCAAAAGGTCCCCTCTGTGACAGCCCTGCTCCAGCCCTTGCAAACTCAAACGTCGTGGATTCCTTGAGGCAGTCCATCCGTCTCGCATCTGGCCTTCCTCTTTTCCTGCTGCTTTCCACCTTTCCCAGCATTTTCCAGCAAATCCGGCCTTCTCCGGAGGTGCCCAAAGGAAGACAGCCTCCGTTTCAAAATTTGTGCGTTCCAGAGACCGTTCAGGCTTGATTTGACGTCGGACCCACTTGTTCGTCTTTCTGGCCCTCCAGGGTATCTGCAAACTCTAGTCCGGAATCGCATTTCAAACGAATCAAACCGAATTTTCCTCTGTACAGACTGAAAATGAGAAATAGCTTGCGCGCAACCAGGAACAGAGAGGAGGAGGGTAAAAAAGAGAGGGTGATTATTATTACAGTGGACCCAAACTGGGTCCAATGAGAGTTAACGAATTCAGATTTAACACATCATTTTCAAACTCTGCCTCTTGTTGGGCCGATACAACACCGCCCCCTGCTGGTGAGATCAAAGCAAAACCCACGAGGTGCAAGGGGTTCATTCATTTTTCAGAGGGGAACCGGGGTTACTCGGAAGCAGGTCCCTGAGCTGCGCATCCTGAAGACCGGCGTCGCACGGGGTGACCTCTACACCCCTCCTTCCCAGACGGTCGGGATCCAGGGTACCGCCGGTGGGTGGCATTGCAAAAACGGAGACTCCGCTTTGCGCATGCTCAGAGGTGTGCTTTCCAATGTCCTTTGCCCATGTTCAGAAGCCCTCTTGTCCGGTTCGTTAATCCCCTGGGAACTCTCTCCCCTTTTTCTCTAATAGGATGATGGTTCATTTGGGGACAAGATTCACCCTAAGAGGCTCAAACAGCACCCTATTAAATACACCCCTTTATATACTACATATAAACTCAGGGCAATTATACTTGAAAAAAAATTAAATTGGAATTGATTTATCTGGGCTGCCAATTGGGGGGGGGTTGTCTACTGTTTGTGGGGTTTACGGAAGATGTTCCTTGGCGAGAAATCGCCCCAAATCGCGAGATCTTAGCTGATGTGCAAGTTGTCTCTCTCTTTTTTTTAAAGGCAATTTGAATCACGAATGTTAAAAATATTTAAATTTTCATTGTATCGGAATAATATGAAGAATGTCACTCTCTTTTAAAGCATGTCACTTTCTTAAACTTTGATTTTTCTCCTCTTTCATGGTACCGTCAGCCACCTCCCACTTTCTAGAAGGACATGAAATAAAGAATTTGCCAAACGAATAAAACCCACACACTTTTACTCTGCTTTTTAGCCATTTAATCTTAAATATATCCAAAATTAGGAGTTTTTTGCTTTCCAGCAAAGCACCATGTGTTTCTCAAAACATCGCCTTGCCTGTCGCCGGCCACCGCAGCTTAAGGAGGAAGAATTCTGTGTGACTTAAAAGCCTGCCAGCTTTGTGATTCGAAGATCATCATCCTGGGTTTCTGAAATGGCGGACAACTTTCGTACCAGAGTGGGACACAACTCACATTGCGATATGAGCTGATGGATATACATCCTACCTGTGCGGTTTCCACCCCAAGGTAATAACTAGAGATAGTCACGAATCGGCAAAAATGGCAATTTGTGATTTGTTGGGTGCCCGAATCACAAATTTATGTTTTTTCCCAACGAATGGAGGAACTGAAAATGGCTCAAAATGAATTAAAGTGTATTTGTCAGGGGTGGTTACCTCCGATGAATACGAATTGACAAACTGGCAATTTTCGAGGAATTCTGCAATTTATTGTTTAATTCGTGCACAACTCTCGAAGTGATAGTCTATTATTCATCCTGGACTGAGTCAGATATTTTCTTTTAAGGTGAACAGTCCTCTCCTTTATGGGCCTCCAAAGGACACCCTTCCTTTTGGGGGGAAAAAGCCCTCTTTTCAAAGACCCCTCTTGTCTGACACTAGTTCCAGGACACAAAACTTAAAGGAGGTCAGAGGCCTCGAACACCCATCGTCCACAGCACTTAACAACTCCCCCACTGGAGCAAAATGCAGGGTCATTTATTTCAAATCACAAAAATCACTGGCATTTTAGTAGAAAGTGATGTGTATATACACACTATATTTTCAGCCTCCTTTCTGGTCACCCTCATTCCCACACACCTTCCCTAAACTGGAATTATGATTAGGTTTCCCGTCCTATAAACCTTCTTATAGCATTGCTCTTTTATTCCTGGCTAAATCTTTCTCAATGTCTTACTGATGGAAATGTTTTATTTTGTTATTTTTGGGGTTCACGAGTCTTCGAACCTCTCAGCCAACACTTCTTCGGCTAGGGCCCTTTCTGGGAGCTGGAAAAAGCCCCTTTCTCACATACCGTATTTTTCCCGTGTATAAGATGCACCCATGTATAAGACGCCCCCCCAATTTTTAAACCCAAAATTAAGAAATCTAAGTGGGGCTTAGCAAGTGCAGGGGGAAAGGGATCAAAGCACTGCAGGATCGCTTTGATCCCTGCTTTCCCCTCCACTTGTTTTTGTTCTCTTCTCAGCTTACTTCCGTGTATAAGACGCCCCTCAATTTGTAGTCTAAAGATTTTAGACAAAAGTATAGTCTTACACATAGAAAAACATGGTATATTTCTAGGTACCTTAGGACCCCCTTGATCCTGTTCCTCCCTGTCTTACATCAACTACAAAGCACAGCGTCTCGCTCCTTCCACTGCCTTTTCGAAACCTACCTCATCCACCCAGCCTGAACCCATAAACACCTTCTTTTTCCATCTCATTTCTCGGTCCCCTCTTCCCTAAGATGGGAGACGTGAGGTCTTTGGACTACAAAGCCCAGCATGCCTCAGCGAACCTGGCAGCGCTCAATCAGACTGAAGGATCCTGGGGTGTGCCGTTCAGGAAAGCCACGGACTCCCCCCTCGGCCCTAAAGCCGAATGTAAAGGATTATGTTTTCTGGGCTAAGAGGCTGTCTCTGTTATGCTCCTCCAGCACCTAAATAATAATAGTAATAATAATAATAATAATGCCCATACTAATTATGCCCCCTTGAGCCAATTCTGAGTTATGGTGACCTTCTCAGAGCAGAACCTAGTGAAGTATAAATAAACATTAAATGCTAGTAACAAACATAATAATTATGCCCCCTTGAGTCAATTCTGAGTTATAGTGACCTTCTCAGAGTAGAACTATAAATAAACATTAAATGCTAGTAACAAAGGGGTGTGTGGGGAAAATACAAGGGAGGAAAACAAGGAAGAAGATGCGAAGCAGGGGTTTTAAGTGGTTCGGATTACAGTTCCTATAAACCCCACAGTGGAGAGCCAAGAGTCGGGGATTATGGGTGGCAGCGTCTACTGATGGTAGACAGGTTCTGAAATTTGTCACTTTTACCGAATCGAGGGAAAATGGCTAAAAGGAAACCCCTCCACCGGGTTAGTCTCAGTCTTTCTTCTTGGTAAAACGGGCGCAACTCCTTAGCGTCTTTCGAACCCTTAGCCCTCTTCCCATGGAGGCTAGTGTAGAGATCCCAGCCTCCAGTTCATGGGGCATAGCCAAACACTAACGGTCCTAGTCTTTCCTGCTTTCGCAGGTTCCGGTGGAGAAGGAGCCGGCCATTTTATCCGAAAAAGTGACATACACATATGCGCTCCCATCAGTGCTCTTGAACATGGAGGTTCCATTTAGCGGCCACGTTTTAAGGAACGTGGAGAGCTCAACCTTCCTCCACAGATTTCTCTAAATGCCTTCCTTTTCTAAAGCTACCTCCGATCTTGGAAAAGTTACTTTTTCCAAGCAAGGCCAACGAGTAACTTTTTCAAGTATCACTTGAAGCCGTTGCGATAAACCATTACGAGGCCTTGCACAGGAAAAGATTTGCCTTCGTCTTGATCCTTAAAGGATTGCCAGTCATTTCCTGAAACTCTACCCACGTTGTGATTTTTTTTAATCAATCTCAGTCCTGTTCTCATTTCTTTTTATCATTTTTTTCCCCCGCTTAAAAATTAAAAGAAACCTGAATGTTTTCAGGCTTTGCGATCATCAGAAAGGGTCAGATCGCTTTCTGAAGCGGTGTGCTTCCGTTTACACTGCAAAGAAGCAGAAACCAGTCTGAAACCAGTTTGAATGTCAAGACATCCCCATGATGCGACCTATTTGGGATGAGGTGGGGCAGGAGACTTTAATATTTGCTGGGAACCCTTTGGCACAGGTACAGATTCCAGCGGAATTTAGCCAGAAACGATTCGGAGTCCATCCAGATTATCTGGAGTGGGATGGAAGTTACTGGTTTACCGGCATAGTGACAGCGTTGGGCGTGAACGATGATGTACTAATAAACTGGGAGATGCAGGGGCCTATTGTGACGATTCCCATAACCAGACACCTCCCAAGGAGAGTCCAAAAAACTCCAGCCGGTTTAGAGCAACAAACGAGGGGCAGGCCTTTTGCAAAGTTAACGGCCCCTGATGGCTGATCCAAAACCCAAACAAACAGCTTTACGTTAAAGCACAAATAGCTTGTGACAATATACTCTTTGTCCAGCTAAAAAAGCCTGGAGAGGAGGGATGGCACGGATCCTGCTATTCAGAAATCGTGGCCCCTGACTCCACGTGCCCAGATTCCACTACACTGTGGTTCGTGATAGCTCTGGGCGAATTCTGCCCTATAGTGGGCACTTCGTTTAACTGTGTGGGACCGCTCCTCCCCTATGCCCCTTTCTTGACCTGTATATGGATAATAATTCAGAACACGGGAACCTTATAGAGACCTCTTGCTTGCCACCAAGGGAAGCCCGGAGAAAAATATTTCCCACACCCCCAAAACTTGGAGAGGTGGGGGGAGCAGAGGATGGACCCCCCCAGACTCTCTCCCCTAACTTTTTGGCTTCATCGAGGTGCGTTCAACAGCACTTCCAACCAGCAGGGGCAAGAGGTGATAAATCGGCGGGAATAACAGGGGCCCCATCCCTTCCCGAAACTGATCCGAACAGCATGGGCATCGTAGGGCCCTTCGTTCTGGCCTGCCCACGCGGCCGCCAAATGGCCGACCCGCTGGTAGTCGTACACCTTGATGGCATAACCAGGGAGGATCTTATGGACGGCCGGGCCGGGCTCGCCGGCCGAGGGCCCTAAAGTTGGGGAGCAGACGAAACAGGGGTGGTCGCTGCGGTTGTAAACCCACACGCTGCTCCCTTCGCGGCTGAGCAGAAGCCCCCGGCCGATCTTCGCTCGGGCTCTGTGGACTGCCTGGCTCTGACTCCTCGGCCGGAGCTGGCCCAGGCAGAAGCCGCCGCTGCCCGCGGGGAGATCGGAAAAGACGTTCACGTGGTCTTCGTGGACGGGGTAAAGGCGGCCGACCCGCAGGCGGTACTCCCAGTAAGCCAGTTTGCACCAGTAGCCGTCCTTGACGGAATGCCGGGAGAGGGTCGTGTCTGCAGGTGGAGAAAACCGGGAGGGCGAAAACGGGTTAGTGGTTGAAAATCTCAAAATATATATATAATAAATTCTGGACAAAAATCTGCAGATTTTCCTAAAAGGTTTCTCAGAGCCAAATGGAAATTTTGCTGGCCCCCCGCGCAACAGCTAGAGCTCTTCCCACCTCCGAGAGGTCTGGTTGCTATTCGGTTGCTAAAGATGAGGAAAATCTTATTTTTAAAAAATGTAGTAGCTCTGACGCAGTGCTTTTCAGTAAGAAAAGAGGAAGAGCCCACATAGGATGGATTGACTCAGAAAAAGAAGCCACAGCCTAGTAGTTTGAAAGAGCCTAGCAGGGCTCTTAAGGACAGAACTTTTTGGAGGTGATTAATTTATAGGCTCCCCATAAATAAGAAACGATGCGGAGGCCGGGAACAAGCACAAGGAGATGCTATGGCTCGTATATTGCTGATGAATTAGAAAAACTCGGGTCCCATCGTCCCCAAGCACAAGGAGATACTATGGCTCATATATTGCTGATGAATTAGAAAAACTCGGGTCCCATCGTCCCCAAGCACAAGGAGATACTATGGCTCATATATTGCTGATGAATTAGAAAAACTCGGGTCCCATCGTCCCCAAGCACAAGGAGATACTATGGCTCATATATTGCTGATGAATTAGAAAAACTCGGGTCCCATCGTCCCCAAGCACAAGGAGATACTATGGCTCATATATTGAATAAATAACCGGCGAGCCTCGAAGGTGCCAGGCCCCTTATGTTTTCATTCCTTTCAATGTGGAAACAGGCGAATGTTAAAAACAAAGGACAATGGCGCCGGCCAGTCCCACGGAAGACTCGAACCCGCGGCCCTGCGCCGCGGCACGTAGGCCGGCGGGCGAGCGAAGTTCACGGAGGGCCACCCATGCCGTAGCTGGGACAGAAGGGGGAGGGAGGGAGAACCCCACTCCGGCGCCCAGGCTGCTCGGATGTGGCGTCGTGGCCTGGCGCCAAGTTCCAGCCCGGCTTTGTATGCGAAAGGCGCATTGTCTGGGCCTCGGCCGGCAGGACTTCCTCCCGGACAGCGGGAACCAGAAATAAACAGAGGGGGCCGCCATCGTACTTCCTCCCACTCCTGGCCTTCTGTGTCAGGGATTCGGGTCTCCTTCTGCTTGGAAAAGGATTCCTCTTCGTCAAAGCGCCTAGTGGTTAGGGCAATGTGCTGGGACTTTGGAAATCCAGATCCTCGACTCCCCTTATTAACCCACGGTGGCCTTGGGACTGCCTGGACTGCTTTACAGGACCGGTGTGGGGAGCATCAACTGGAACTTTCTCAACAGTAATTGGAGTCGTTCCAACCTCGCATGCTGCCTTCGGGAGATGTGGCTGGGAGGGACCTTTTTTTGGGCTGGGGTGCCCGTCAATCTAACTAGCACTAACCAATCGTCCCTCCCCTGCCTCTGAATTTCAAGAAGTCCCGCCTCTCTGCATAGTGCCTTTTTCTCCCTCTCTCGAGGCTGTCGAAGTCTGTTGTTGAAAGCAGCCGTGTGTGTCCGTTTGCTGTTGATCTGTAGGTAAATGAATGTTTTTCCCAGTTCTTCTTCTTCTTTCTCCCACTAATGTCTCAGAGTGAGTTACTGGGACAGTAAGTGCCGGTGAATGAGAAAAGGAGTGGACCACTCTGGGGGGAACTCGAAGCTATTCTGCTCTGTGAACATCTATGCTTCTGCTGTGCGGCGAGGGGGGAATTTATCCAGACATTCAAAATTGCACCACAATAATTGATTCCAGTTCTAGTCCAAAGAGGGCCCTCTGTGAACGTCTACGCTTCTGCTGTGCGGCAAGAGGGGAATTTATCCAGACATTCAAAATAGCACCACAGTCATTGATTCCAGTTCTAGTCCAAAGAGGGCCCCGAAAGCAATTCCTCACAGTTACAGGTATTCCAAAAAGTAACTAGTTACTTGTAACATGGTGCATCTTGCTGAAGAGATCTGATCCTGCTTCCCCTCTGTTGAACGTCTACGCTTCTGCTGTGCGGCAAGAGGGGAATTTATCCAGACATTCAAAATAGCACCACAGTCATTGATTCCAGTTCTAGTCCAAAGAGGGCCCCGAAAGCAATTCCTCACAGTTACAGGTATTCCAAAAAGTAACTAGTTACTTGTAACATGGTGCATCTTGCTGAAGAGATCTGATCCTGCTTCCCCTCTGTTGAAAATGAGACCTTGCGCCCCACCCTCCCCAATTATTCTCACCTTGCCATACTTTTCGGTTTCTGTCGAAGGCGCTGGGGCTTTTCAGTGGGAGAGCAAACGGAGAGATCTTGTTGTAAGCGGGTGGGGGAGTCTCTGTGGGCGAAAACAGTGTTTGGGGGGGAGAGAGAGATGAGTTAATGAATGCAGGTTTTAGATCTACCCCACCCACCATTGATGATGCGGGATTTAAAAACTGTGTGTGTTTTAGCCTGGCTTCTTGTGGCAGGGAGTTCCGCAGTCCCTGCGAGAGTTCAAAGCGCCCCCTGCCTGATCCTCCTCCCACCACACTCACCGGGGATGGCGAGCCGGCTGAGATGATGGGGGTTGCAGCAGTGGGCACTGCCCTCGCCCCCGGCGCTCCGGCAGAAGCTCAGGCGCTTGAGTTCGTTGGGGTGGCCGACGTCCGGCCAGCGGTAGAGGCGGCAGAGGAGCAGAAAGGCCGGGAGGCCCGGCTTGAACCCCCGGGGTTCCACCCAGATGCAGGCCGACTCGCCCGCCCCCTTGCCCTCCACCGCCTGAAGCAGCAGCTCCAGTTCGGGGTCCCTCAGCTTCTTGAAGAGGGCATGGGCGGCCGGCTTCAGGGGGCTGTGGCTGTCGTCGGGCGCCCCGGGCGTCGTGCAGCGATGCCGCCACAGCCGTTGAACCAAGCTAGCGCGCCGCGACCGGAACATGAGGCTTGAAGGAAAAGAAAAAAAAAAGGACAACAACATCCATCATCCGCTCTCTTCTGGCACAGTTCTGAACTGTGTTGACCACAACCCTGCCAGGTTGGCGAGGACCTTCCTAGCCTGAAGGGGACGGTGGGGCGTGTTTCGAACACAGAGCTTAGGGGAGGTACGGCCAGAATCCCCGAGCCACCACGGTTACCATAAGTAACTTTTCCCAAGGGGTAGAGGACTGGCTTGTATTGGATTCAAATCTCTCCCCAGCCATCAGACTCAGTGAATCATGTTAGACGATGTGATTTCCCTCTCCGGCTCCGGACGACGAAGCTAAGAGGACCAGTTTACCTCCTGTATGGACTACTGTAAGGGACTCGTCCTAGGGCTGCCCTTGAAGACTGTCTGTCAGCTTCCATGAGTTCAAAATATAATCGCTTTTTAACGAGAAGCGGCTGACAGGGATTTTAAGGTCTCTGTTTCAAGGTGTCTAATTTTCAGAGAAAGAAGCGATTGGTTTGAAACTCACCCTAGGAATCGCTGGTTAAAACATTAAATCATCCCCCCTAATAGGTCAAGATGGACCACCATGATGATTTTAAAAGTTTTTCTTTGAGGATTGTTAGAAGCCAAGATTCCTACATGGTGGAACAATTCCCATTTGAGGCTATCTTTAATTTTTCCCTGGGTGGTTTTTTTGATCATTCTTGCAACTCTTTGTAATTTTTTTAAAAATTTACTATTTAGAACAAAAGGGGGGGGGTCACTCCTGTATCCTTCAACTAACAACACAGGGAAGTAGTTACGAAGTTATTGCTTGAAAGGGATACGCAAACAAATGAATTCCCAAATCATTGGTTCGGCTGCCCCCCAAAAAGGGGGCTTTCTAAGGGGTCGCTTGGAAAGGTTTTGGGGGTGATCTTATACATTAGGCTGCCCCCCCCCAAATTTTCATGCCCAGTTAGGTCTGCCGGGAGGGAAATGTCCGCATGCGCTACTTTATGGAAAGCAGTCCTTTCCTTGACTGGCTGCCTTCATATCTGTCCGTGTTTTGAGCGGGGGGAAAGAGGATCAGAATTCCTTGGATCATCTAACCCATCGTCCTTGCCCACCAGCTCTGGAATTGAGCCACACCTGAAGAGAAAACACGGCGCCCTGTGTGTTCCCAGCATCATCTTCACAAGCCCTTGCCGAGGTCAATGGCAGTGGTACCCTCCCGGAGCTGACCCAGCCCTTTTTGCTGCCTGAGGCCAAAAAAAAGAGGGGTGCCGCACTGTGTCTTGTAAGAAGCTGAGAGCATTGATACAGGGAGTGCATGCATTCTGCGCCACCCGAGGCAGTTCCCTCACGCCACCCATTGGTAGGGCTGGCCTTTAGGACCACAGCCGCTGTTGTGCCCGTTCCTATTCAGGAAGTCTGTGGAAATGCATATAAAAATAGAACTTTGTTACGCTTCCTTTTTTTGATCAGGACTCAAGCCCTGAACTTCTTCGGGAGGCCAAAAAGGGACAAAATGGGAGCGGTACCGTGGGAACGTCGTGAGAAGGCAAGTCTCCCTGAGAAAGACCGCCATGCCGGCGCTGTTTGGCGGCAGCAGGAGATGAGGAAGGCCGAATGTGAGATGGCTCAATTCCCTAAAGGAAACCACGACACGGGGTTTGCAAAAGCTGAGCAGGGGGTGTTGAAGACAGGGCAGGTCATTCATAGGATCTCGCAGCAACTCAGAACAACTCTAGAATCCTGATCTAGCCTTCCAAAAAGAGATGCCTTCTTTTATAAGGGGACTTTTCCACCTCTAAAAATTATGATTGCTTGAGATATTTAATGGGAAGCATCTTCTATTTGTGATCACCACGTATGGGGATGAAAACTGGACAGTTAAGAAAGATGATGGGGTGGAAATGATCCGTTTGAAATGTGGTGCCAGAGGAGAGAGCTTTGCGGATACCCGGACTGCCAGAAAGACGTCCATAAAAGGGGTCTGAGTTCAAATCAAGCTGGAACTCCCTCTAGAGGCAAACCTGCCGAGAAAGCAGGATTCTCTCTGGATAAGACCATCAGGCCGGGAAAAGTGGAAGGCAGCAGGAGAGGAGGAAGACCCCCAGGGTGAGACAGACGGACTGCCTCGAGGAAACCACGACTTTTTGAGCTCGCGAGAGCGGAGCGGAGCCGCGGAGGGCAGGGCATTTCGGAGAGCGCTCGTCCGTCGGGCCGCCAGGAGTCGGGAGAGACTTGAAAACCACAGTTTGTGGGGACGCTTCGACCTGCCGGTGTGGGGCCAGTGGCAGATTTTTGAGATCAGGAGCAGGGAAAAAAAGACTGAAGCCCCCCCCCCCCAAAAAATGCAAACTTCACCCCAAGAAACATAGGCACCAAACACCCCCCCCACTGCAAGACCCCTAAGTGGCCGGTCACTCACTGTGCAGGCAAATCCGGGGGAGGAAAGGCTCCAGTGGGGCCAGACCCGCTGAGGCGTCAGGGGCGGCTCACCCCATAGACTTCCTGGCGTGGGGTTTTCTTGTCAGGCCAGCTCCCGCCCCATCCTTCCTGTGGGCGGCCACTTTCTGCATTGGAG